TGTTAGCACATTCCTGTCATCTGCATGAATTAGGACCTGGCCTGTTCATGCCCAGAGCTAACTGGCCAATAGGACTTGGTTGAGAGGTTTTTGTCTGATATACTTAACTGTGACCCAATGAACATTTTTATACTTTTGATCTATTCTGATTTATTCTCAGGTTTCCAACTAAAGAATCGGGTTAACGGCAGCTTTACCCATTAATATAATTCGGATTGTTCAGTGTTTCCACGATGAGTTTTTCTGTGAGCCCGTTTCTGGCATCCAGCATGTAAAGCAGACTGAAACATAAAAACGTATGCACACAAACTACAGATGGCCACTATAAGTGTTAGAGTGAAGACTGGAAACAGGGAAACAGATCCACACTACGCCAAGGATGACAACATTTACATTGCAGAAGCTTTGAAACTCAGTTCATAAGTTATGATCTTCATTTAATTTGTTTACGTCTGAAAAAGGAAGTTTGGGATTTTAATGGGTTAGAGGAAGCCATGTTTTTCTCTTGAAACATAAAGATGATTCCCCAAATACAAGCCTGCCAGAATGATTTTTAATAAATAAATAAATAAATAAATAAATAAATAAATAAATAAATATTATACGCAATGCAACAAAATAAAAATAAAAGGTAAAATACAAGTGAGAGTTATTAAAATGTAATGACATGATTATCAAAATATTTAAATGAGTTGAAAATGAGAAAGAAAATTATGACTGAAAATTATAATTGGATGAACACATGAACTTTGTATCGCTGTATTACACTATATTACACTGTATTATACTGTATTATATTGTATTATACTGTATTACATGGTGTTATACTGTATTATACTGTGTTATACTATATTATACTGTATTATACTGTATCATACTGTATAACACTGTATTACGCTGTATTATACTGTATTATGCTGTATTATACTGTATTACCATTAATATAAAGTTGATGTTACTCCTCCATATCTATAATAAAACAGCTTAATATTGTGTTATACATACTCCTGAATCTCAGCTCAGAAAGGTATATTTTAATGCCAGAGTCACTTGCTCAAAAAGAAGCAAAAACAGTAACAAAAATATATAAAAAAAACAGTGATTTTGATTATGATGCAGGACGTTTGAACACACTATGGTTATTTTGGTGCACTGGTTAAATGGTACTAGTTATACTGGAATAAAAAAAATTCAGGCATTTGTTTGTGTGCAGAAAAAAAATGACGTATATTAGGGGAAAAAACTTCCATAAAATGTTTATTTATCATTATGCTATGGGTGTTTTGATCATTTTAAAGATGAGTCATGCACACTGAGTTTTATCAGCAGCTTGCATCATTAAAGCTAAAGATGGGAAGTTTATCACCTTATCTCACACAAGTTTAATCACTTTTATTTATACGTTTAAAAATCTGGGTTTTTAATCCATATCGTCTGGTTTCAGATTCATGCTGAATTCATTCAGTTTTTCCAAACCTGAGCTCGTTTCTGGAGTCTTTTCTCTCTAATATACTGTAAATGAAATAAACATGGATAAACAGCTTTCTCATGTGGTTTAACACGTTTAACTTTATTGCAAAATGTCCGACATTTCAGCTTCTTTCACACTCTGATGCTAATCTTATGGAAGAAAGAAGATGATAATTACAACTTGTCCATTTTCCGTAGCATGAATTTGAACAATCCAGAGGCTTTGAGGTTAATGAATCTTTAAAGTTCTGTGTCATTAAATTGCAATTAATGTACTGAATAATAAGTGGATGTCTTTAGATGTCTGATAAAAAAAACTTAATTAATATTCAAACCTTTCCAAAGCTCTCTCAGCAGGACTAATGCATCCTCATTTTTAAGCCGAGAGCTTGGCATTTTCCACCAATATCTCCACCCTTATAGTTTTGAGAGCTTCTTCTAGCTTTGTCCTCCTATTTTCAATTTTATTTATAAGCCAACACAACTGGAACAGAACTGAGCTGGCACTACTGAATATTTGAAAATTAGGGAAAACATGCTGGAAAACACCAAAACTCGACCTGTTTATGACAGTTGGGATAGGCTCCAGCCATTTAAATAAGCAGATCTAGAAAACAGATGGATATTTGGTCTATTATTTAGTCTAAAACATTGAATTCATGCATGTTCTAGATCACATAGTTATAGAAAACCTCTAAAATCAGCCAAAACATCTGGATTTATTCCCAAACTGTCACAGATGGTTCCAGTTACAAAAAGACTGGAAGTGGAATTGTGTGTATGACAGAGCAAAGCTAACGTAAGGTAAGCTAAGCTAAGCTAAGCTAAGATAAGCTAAGCTAAGCTAAGCTAAGCTAAGCTAATTCTGCTGCTTCTCATTTCTGTGTTGATTAGACTTAGACTTAGACTTCCTTTATTGTCATTGTACAAAAAACACAAGGTGAATTTTGACAACGAAATGTCGATTACTTGGCTACCAGTGTAACAGCTAAGACCTTATTCCTACTTAATAAATATGTATTGTATTGTATTCTATAAGTAAGCGCTAAGAGCTAGCTATATACAAGGTAAAGAATTATATTCATACATATATATATATATATATATATATGTATAAATATATGATCCTGATACAAACAGATGCAGATTCAGTCTGCACAGATGTTGAATTGGAGTCAATTGAAAAGAAAACCGAGTTATTTTCCGAGTCATTTTCAAAGTGTGAGCAAAAATAAAGCGTAAAAAAACAAGAGCAGGAACTCCTACAGGTTCTCCACAAAAAATAATAAAATAAAACAATACTCAGATTTCAGTTCTGCTGCGATAAAGCTGAACAGGACAAGGTGAAAAAAAATAAATAAAAAATAAAGAGTAAAAAACAGTGCTCCATCCATGAGGCCTGGTTTGTTGAAGTTGGTATATTGTTTGTTTTTGTTCAGGTGTGCTGTAGAAAATCATCCTATTTCACCTAATTGGTCTAAAAAGATTTTTTGATAAGGAATTAATTATCAGCAAATAATATTCAATTTCTGAGTGTGTGTGCTGTTCTAGTGACTGGTGGAGTAATCATGTAATAATTCCTTATGACTAGATTTTGTATATAATTTTGTATATTGAAGTGGACATGTTAAGTGCAGTTTGAAAGAAGAACTATAAAATATGATAAAAATATATTTGTGTGTTTATTTGATTCCTATTCAAGACACTTAAGATAAGATAAGAATAAAATAAGAATAACTATAGTGTTACTATAGGCAGATACAGATTTGTTTGACATTTTTGGTTGGTGGTGATTTTTTCTATGGCTCAAAAAAGGTTGAAAAACACTGGTATATTGTTTGTTTTTGTGCTCAAACTTTGGGCTAGACACTTTCACTCCTGGAAGTAGGGAGTCCAAACCCTGTCTGGTCATTCTCACTGGTAGTTCCTCTGTTTCTTCCTGTTCTGACCACCTTTTCCACTCCCTTTATTATCCTCAACACTTCTTTTTCATCCTCTCAAGAATCTATCCTCTATTTTCTCTCAATCTGGACCACTGCCACCATCAATTCAGAGTCCAAGCTCAGAGTCTGTTCTTTTCCCACCCTCAAATTGACTTTTTATTTGAGTTTTTTAATGTAACTAAGAGTAGTTTATTTGTTTATTTGTTTATTTATTATTAGGATCCCCACTAGCCAGCTACTCTTTCTGGGGTCCACATCATTAAAATACAGTATAAAATGTAAATTCATGAACATGTTTGACAGATGACAAATATAATATACATATCAATAAGACTGAACATTCATAGAAAAGGGGAAAGTTACCATTTAAAATTTAAAATTTCAACATTTTTTGAATAAGTTACAATAAATTTGAACATGAAACTATTTAATTTATAGATAAGTTGCTCCTAAAAACTTCTTAAGTTGCATTTTAAAAGCAGACTTATTTACATTTTTTATGAGAATTAATGGCAATGAGTTCCAAGTAGTTCACCTCCTGTGAGCATCCCAGTTTGAACCCCTCTCCTCTCATTGTGGCATTCATAAAATAAAGTCTTTAGATTAAAACAAATGTGTATTATCACTCTGAAAAGTCCAGTACAGTCCACTGAAACTCAACATGATGGAGTATTGAGCCCACAAACTACAGGAGGATGTAGGAGTGAAAAAGCCTCATTAACAAAATTTCAACTCTTGCATGAACATGTGACCTGGGGGCATGTACCAGTATAAAGAAGAGCTTTCTTTTTAATTATATGTGGCTTTGGGTGAGTATTATACCGAGGATCCCTTCTGGATGGCATATGGTCAAATAGCAAAGAGGGAGAAAATATCCGTACATAAGGTTATTTTCTTCTTATTTTTTCACTTTGCAGGTTGATGCAGATGGTGTCAAGACTATTCTTTTCTTTTTTTTAGTCTGTTCGACTCTCCTGTCTCACAAATCTTGACGTGCAAATGTTTGTGACCAATACAAGTTGAGTTTTCAGCATTTCTCACCTCAACACTAGGCCTTTTTTAAAATTTAATTGTATTTTCATACATGCTAACTTAACCCTTTAAAGCCTGATCCAAGAATAAAACAAAACAGAAAATTCCTTTTTTTTTGTGGTTTGAAGTTTTTATTTGGCCTTTTAAAAAAATATGTCAAAAGAAAAAACTGAAATATATTTTTAATATTAATAATTTATTACTATGCGATAAGTCAAGATTATTTTTTCTGCCCCCTGTTATCAGGTGTATCTGATTGTGTACAATATAAAAATAATAATAATAAATAATAAAAATAAATTAAAAATATATATAAATATAAATAAATAAATAAACACATAAATAAATAAAAATAAAAAATTAAAAAACAATAAAAAAATTAGGATTTTGAGCAAAGTTTTTACCATT